ACCCCCACTCTGGAGCTCTTTTTTTTTTTTTTTTTAGTATGAGTGTATGCTGTTAATGGGCGCTAACTGTATACATATATCTGGTTATTTTCACTTTCAGAAAAGGTCTCTTTACATCTCCCCTTTATTTTTATATATATATATATATATATATACCTAGTGAGCCAGACAAACCTACCTAGGTTTCACCTAAACGGGTCGTCAGGGAAAGTTTATCTAGTTATCTATATAATGTCTGTGTGTGTGTTTTTTGTGGAATACATAATTAAATATTTGCTATAGTTATACCAAAAGCCTTCAGGAATAAACTTCTTCCTCTGTTGGATACTGTCTGATTATGCAAATCCATGTTTTTTGTAATAAAATTGGTAGTAACTAATGTCAGGAAAAATTTTCAGGTACATTTATATTAAATATTAATGTTTCTGCTGGACATAAAGTGGGGGATCAGTTTCCTATAGTTATTAAGTAATAAGTGGACCCCCACCCATGAGAAATCTGAGAGCAGAATTTGAATTCCAATCATATTCATTGCATTCATTTAGATGCAAATATCCTTGGGAAATGTATGATTCCATCTTCTCCTTTCCATCTGTCAGTTAAATAGTGTGGAAAATCATTGTCATACACAAAAAAAAGTTTTAATGGAATATTGACTCGCAAAAAAAAAAAAAAGAATTATAACCCAAAATATATTTCAGCTTTGAAATAATCCACAATGAGTTAAGTCCTAAAAAAAAAAAAATCAATCTTGTTTCCATGAAGGACTTAACTTCTTATGTAGCCATCAGGTCTATCCAATGTAGCTCTATATTCATCATTAGAAATTACTGTAGAGAAATCGGTTGTGTGTAATTCTAGCATTTCTCTTTGTGAGATTTACTTAAAGATTGTTGTTTAATTGCTTTCATATCTTTAGCCAATCTCCTTAATGTTCTTAATCTCTTCTATTTACATTTGCAACACCTGCTTAAAATATTTTCTTGCTAGTTAATTAACTCTTTTTGCTTATTACTCTCTTAATTTTGCTCATTTTTTTTTCTTATTCTTTTTTGGCAATGTTTTAATTTCTTATTTGATTGTTTGATCTTGGTTTCATTTTTTTTTTTTTATACAGTTTCTACCATTGTTTTCATCACCCAATAATTCTATAAAATACTGTCTCTCTTGTTACTTCTATGGCACTCTCTATATAATATGTACTCGAAAGACCTGTGAAAATTTCATAGCTTTCATATTTGAATTTTCTGATGAATCTTAATTCTTCAGTTAATGATTAAGCTCATGAGTTCTATGACAATAAAATATCTGTAGAAATTCTATTGCATCATTAAATATTTGAAATTGATAACTTCCATTTCACTGAAACAGTTGTTAAACACTTCTCTTCCCTTTTGGTTGCTGAAACCAAGTAGCATACACTTTGTGTTTTTTCTATGCAATCAAAATGGGATAATCCATTATTTATAAGGTATTGGCAGATGTTAAACACTACTATCTTTCCTTTCTTTCTAGCAAAATACCCATCTTACAAACATTTCTCTCAATAATAATTTTAAGATAATTCAGCAGACAATGTTATTTCATTTATGGTAACTTGATTTTTGATGATTGTTTTACTTTGTTTCTGTCATTTGATACAGTGCCTCTGAAAAATTGAGCATTTATTGCAGTCTCCATGAATTCCCAGTTTTTTGCTTAAAATCAAAGTGTAGTATCTGTTCTTATCAACTTAATCTTATTCTTTCTCTCCACTTCTATCTTCCTTTTCTTTCATTTTTTTTCTCATTGAAACCAAGTAGCCTTTCCCCTCTTTTCATGGAATAGTCCATTATTTATGCACTATTGGCAGGGTGCAGTATTTGTGCAAACTATTGAAGGGAGGGACAAGCACAATTATAATAGGATATGATAAAACTATAGTTTTAATGTATGCTATATTTATGGGTAAAAGTACTCAATATCAGAGATAGAGTATGTAAATATAAATTCTGTTTCATGATTCAAAAGTGTATATCAATAACTAATATATAATCTGAACAATCCTCATATTGCAAGAGAAAATTTCACACTACTAAATAAGTTATTTTTAATATTTCTGATAAAATCAGATTATAATCAGAAATCATATTGTATATTTATCATACAAGTATATCCTGAAATTTTTTTCCAGTGTTGGCAAAATACTGATTAATACAAATTTTATTGTGCAAACATTAACTTGCATAACTGACCATGTGTAAATGTATTTATGGGTTAAGTTGTGGCTTTGTACTGGGTTAATAAAACTTATTCATATTTCACAAAATTGAAAGTAAACTGACTTAAAGATCACTTGTTAGCTTATGGAATGTCTACAAGGAGATTTTGAAAAAAATTTAACCTAGTCTTCTTTCCAAAATGTAACCAAACAAAAACATATCATTTTTTTTCTTTATGGCACATAGTCTGGCTGAGAATGTTTTAGCACCACCCACTTATAATACAGGTGAAAATCCAGCATAAAATATTTATGAAATTTATTCATAGGTTAGATAAAAAAAAAATAGATGCATTTAGTGAGTTAGTCTCTTTCAAAATACTTTTTTTTTTTTTTTTTTTTTTTTTTTTTTTTGTGCTAGATGAATCAAATGAAATAAACAGAAAGATAAAATTTTAATCCCAAAATAACTTTTAGTTTTGTTTTGTTTTTTTTTGTTTTTTTTTATATGAAGAAATTTATGTTGTAATTTGAAGAAAAATATTTTTTTTAAAAAGTTACTTGCATAACAAATATGATTTGCTTATGTATTTCAGTCTCAACACTTAAAATTGAATATTACCTTCTGCTTCAATAATCTTTAATCTGTCAGCACCAGGTCATGAGGAGTACTTATTCAATTATCTAAAGAGATTATTAATTAAAAAAGGTCTGGATAAAACATAATTTTGGCTTGTTGAAGATAAGTTTCTCTTTTTTTAAGCGCTACTTCTTCGAGATAATGTAATCTTGTGCTTGAATATATCAGAAATAATTGAAAGGATTTTTTTTTATTTTTGTTTTGTTTTGATCAAACCAATACATTGATAGGTGTCTATGTGGTAAATACAGATGTATTGAATGATTGTACATTTGATGTACATACATAGACTGCTGCTTACATTCAAGATTAGAAAATGGGGTAATCTGCTATTGGCATAAACTTATTAAATATCATGACTTCTATGTGCCATGTTCCTTCAGAACATGAGTGATCATGGCTTTCCACAACTTCCTATCGCTTGTAGTTCTTAACATTTATCCTTTTGCCATACCTCCCACTCTCCATTCCGTTATTTGTTCATACAAGCTCATCAGGTTGGTGGCTTACTGCCTGGCCCTTATTTTTTATTCTTCCATTTCATCCCAAGCAAGGCACTAAAGCCACCGAGAGCAAGCAGTTACTGAGTGTGAGATAATGAGTGGAGGTGGGGAATACTATTAAGGAGAGAGGACAATAATAAGTTTTATCTCAGTTAAGATAATTATTGTACTGTATATACTTGTACAGTGCAAGTTTTTATGACCAGTTTTTTTTTTTTTTTTTTTTTTTTTTTACATAAAAAAAAAATAAGTGGGGGTGTACTATACACAGGTAATTTCTTTTCTGGAGGGTTAAAATTCATGCAAGAAAATTCAGGTGTTGCACTATACATGAAGTTGGCTTATACATGAGTATATTTGGTAGTTTTAATTTTTACAATGTTTTTGCCATCCATTCACCTAAGCTTATCAGACATATGGCCCACTGCCCCCTCCTCTCACTTTTACCTTCAATATGTCCTGTGACTGTCAAATTTTCCAAGGCCTCTTTCTTCATTATGTGTCCCAGAAATTTTAGCACTCTTTCTGATTCTAAGTATATGTCTTTTTTGTTTCCGTTTCCTTAAAAGTGCTTACATGCTTCATCCGTTATATTCTCAGCATCCTTTTGTAGAGCAACATTTCTGTTGGCTCAAGTGTTCTCTTGGTCTGTGAAGAAATTTTCCTGTATTTACTGCCATGTAAAAAGATTAATATTCCATAGTAGTTCAAAAGTCTTTCCTTTGTTTCTGACAATATTTTTCTGTTTCTTAGTATTTTGCTTAGATTTTTAAAAGCATCTTTTTGTTATTCCAATGCACCTTTGGATTTCAGTGTTACGTTTTCCATCCTAGAAATTTCAGTTCCTTCTTTCTGATTCTAAGTCTCCTTTTTGATTCTGTTTTCTTTAAGACTTCTCTGTTGCTTATAACTTTTGAAATGCATCCTTTGCTATTCCTACATAACAAATTCTTCTCAAAACCTAATATAGGAAAATGGAAACCAGGCTTCAGAAAGGAACCAATCACTATATCCCAACTACGTATTGGTCACACAAAACTAATGCATTCTTTTTTTAATTAAACAAGAAAACCAGCCAGAATGCATAGCATGTCAAACACCCTATACTGTTAACCAGAATATTGTGATTTTTACTGTTATCAGACAACACTTTTACAACACAAACAGCATGGGATATATTTTTAAAAAATGTTGGTATAAATGACATTTTGTCCTTCTTGAAAGAAATAAAATTATACCAAAAAACATAAGTCAACTTGAACTTTACCCTAGAAACTTATCCATCACAGCAATTCCCGATCCATTTAGCAACAAGCAACTGCTGACAACTTACTGTCAAAATCAAGAAAAATCCTTGAAAAAATAATAAATTTCACCATTCTCCACAATTTACCCATTGACATAAAATAACTGCAGTCAGGTTGACATGTTGTTAAAACCAATTAATAATCAATCATTTGCTATTCCAATGTTCATTTGGATTTCAGTGTCACATTTTTTATCCTCAAAACACTTCCCAGATATGTAAAATTCTGTTAGTTTGATTTTGATATTTCCAATTTGTATCTTGGTCTGTTTATCTTGCTGATGACCATTTCTGTATTTTTCTGACTCTGTTTTAATACTGATTTGTAATTACTTTCTATTTCCTTTTCAGGTACATGTATTGGACTGACTGGGGTGAAAGACCAAAGATTGAACGGGCTGGAATGGATGGCAGTAAACAAAATCGTTCTGTGATAATAAGTGAAAGGATTCACTGGCCTAATGGTTTAACATTGGACTATGAAGATTCCAAGATATATTGGGCAGATGCCAAGCTAAATTTCATCCACAGCTGTAACTTTGATGGCTCTGACCGTCAGCCTGTTGTGCAGGGCTCCCTACCTCATCCGTTTGCTTTGACATTGTTTGAGGAAAGATTATTTTGGACAGATTGGCACACTCGAGCAATTCACTCATGCCACAAACGAACTGGAGGAAACAGAGAAGTTGTTCACAGTGACATCTACTCACCTATGGACATTCATGTCTATACAGCAAAGAGACAACCAGCAAGTGAGTGCTTTTAATTTTGTTTCTTTGCACTTTTAACAAGAATTGCATTTCATGATGTATGTCCATAAAGGCATGAATAGAATCTTCTACGTGCAGTGTCTCTTCAGGATGTGGGTGATTATGGCTCTCCACAATTTCTTGTCCTGTGTAGTTCTTAATAAAGTTACTTTCACTATCTCTCCTAATCTCTGTCCTGTTAACAACTTATACAAGCTCGTTAGGTAGATTATGCATTGCTTTCCTCTCTCTCTTACTTTCAATATGTCCTGTGTCAAGTTTTCTAAGCCCTCTTGTGTGCACTATAAATTTCAACTGTCTCTTTTCGATGCTTAGTATAAATGATTTTTGCTTCCATTTTCTCTAAAATTTTATTGCTCAGATGTTTAGTCCATGATATTCTCAGCATCCTTCTGTAGAACATTTCTGTTGCCTCAAGTCTTTTCTTTATTTGATTGTCCAGCAATCACTGCCATATAAGGGGACTGATATTACATAACTGTTAAGTACTCTTTTCTTTGTTTCTAACAAAACTTTCCGGATTCTTAATACTTTGCAGTTTATAGTCACATTATGTTGAAACCCCAATTCCTGTATGATCACCAAAGTTAAGCAATATTGAGCCTGGTCCCTATCTCGATGAGTGACCACTTGAGCATATCAGGTGCTGTAAACTTGGATTTGCTGGTGATGTGATAAATAATGGCTTGTAATTTTTAATTGGAGAACCGAGTTCCAATTCCCATTGGGTTAATTATATTCACCTGCATACAAATACCCTTGGGAAATGTATGAATCCACTGCTTCTCTCCCACTAGCTATAGGTTAATTAGTAAGACATGTATCACTAAACCATTATTATCTCAAAAAAAGGAGATTCTAGTAATGTAAAAATATTTTCTTGCTTTAAATAACCTGTAATGGGTTGATAAGCTGTAGAAAATGAATCAATTAATAATTTGCTTAGCTTTTGGAAGGCATTTTATGCTATCTCATTGTGACTTTAAATTTCAGTGTCACATTTTCTGTCATCTGTTAAAACACTTCCTAGATATTAAAATTTTTGTACTGTTCCTTTTGCTGACAACCATACATTTCTTTCTTCTTGCAATTGATGTTTAGTCCTTTCTTCTTGCTTTCTTTTACTACCTTTCTGTGTCTGCTATTAACTTTGTGTCAGTTTGAGGTTATTGTTGCATCTACATTGCTGTCGAGACTTTCCCTCTGGTTATAATATATATGCCTGTGTTGCTCATATTACCAACTGGGTCCCTACTGTCCCAATTAATGATTCTAGTATTTGAGCTATTTAATGAGATTATAGATTTATCTTTGTTCTGCTTGGGATTATCAGATTAACCAAGATTTTTACGAGCCCTGAGATGTCTTTACACTGAATCTGAAATTGAGTCCCTAATTTTTAAGTTTTAAAAACTAAATGAAAAAAAAATAGTTTTATTTGTTAATTAATTTATTGATATATTTTTAATAAATTTATTTTTTAAAGTCAAAAGGGAGATATTGATTTGAATTAATGGCAAATGAATCTTTTATTGCATATATTTGTTTTAAAAGTAGGTGCTTGACTAGGTTGTTAGAATACTAGCATTCTGATCATGAGACCAGATCAATTTGTCAGATGACTTCTTGATAATATGGGATTGGGGAGACAATCTTAGTGTGATGCACAGTTGGGAAGTGCTTGATAACCAAGCCTGATGAGTGAAATTGGGTAGACAAAACTGTTTGAAAACCACTTTTGGTTTTGCTAACACAAAATCACAAGTCATTGTGATCAAGGATTTGAGCATAGTGGCCTTGTTCAAACAGATCAGCCAGATTATTTGCTCTCTCCCAGAAACTGTAACTAAAGTCTGCTCAGCTCAGCATAGGCCCAATATAAACCACAGGTTGACTCTGTGGGTGTTGAACAAATATGCCTAAGTAGCTGTCTGCAACAAGGATTAGCCAGCCACTCTAACGAATAGGCATATTTGGATACTATGTTTAAATCTTTGGCTTGAGTGTTTACTAGTATTGTGGCTGTGCAGGTGGTGTAATGGGTAGTGGCTCGTAATGATAAATCAGAACAGTTTAAATTCCTGATGGATTTTTTACATTCACTTAGTACAAATACTCTGGAGGAATGTATGAATACATCTTCTCCTCACAGCTATGGATTAAATAGGATTTGTATGTGGAAAAATCAGTTACTCTCAAAAAAAAAAAAAAAAAAAAAATGTTAATGCAATATTCAGTCACAAAAATATTATTCTTGCAATCCAAAATATGTTTTGGCTTTAAATAACCCACAAGGGATTGATAAGCCATAAAAAACAAATCAATTTTACTAGTATATTTATATTTCAAATCTACATATATTTCTTATGAAGTGGAAATCATTAATTATGCTTTCCTCATTGTGTTGACTATAGCATGTTTGCTGGATATAAGATGGCTGTATAAAAAAAAAACACACACCCAGCACAGGGAACTTGCCATGAAGTCTCATTTTGTAGGGTTGTCTGTTGCTTTAGGTACACTGATATCTGCAAATATGGCTTGAAGTCCATGGATATTGGGAAGCAATAGCTGTGGATTGCTAGTGGTTATTTTTTACATACAAACATAACCACTGCAGGTCAAACAGACAATAATAAAAAAAAAAAAAAAAAAAAGAAGCTTTGACAGCAAACACCCAGGGGTAGCTACTGTGCTAAGCAAGAGTACTTAAAACGTTAGCTTGTTCCGCCACTGTTGTGTATCAATGGGTACATTGTCTGTCTGCTAGGGAGCTGAAGAGAAGAGTTTAAAATGAAAATAAGTTTTGTTTTAAACCATTTTATGATTTGCTGTTTTCTTTTTTAAATTAAAAGAAAAAATAATTTAAATAAATTTTTATAATGCATTGTTAATTTAAATTGCAGGTAACAATCCATGTGGCAACAACAATGGTGGCTGCTCTCATTTGTGCCTCATGTCACCTCAACCTCCATTTTTCTCTTGTGCCTGTCCAACAGGTGTTCGTCTACATGAAAATGGCCACACTTGTGCTAGCAGTAAGTTGCTTTCTGAGATCCATTTTGTATTATATACCAATTGGAATTCTGCTTTTTTTCTCTGTTGTAAATTTTGAAACTTTATCACATGTTTGGTTTAAAGCAGGGGTCAGCAACCACTAGCCTCTGGGCCACATCCGGCCTGTGAAGGATTTTTGTCTGTCCCACCATCTTAACACTTGGGCACTAATTATCTAATTCATTTGTGGAGCAAGTGGCAGAAAAATTTTAGTTGGAGTTAATCGACTTGAAATTCAATGGATTTTTTAAATCAAAATTTCATTCCAAATCTTCTGACTTCTACAAGAAATGTTTTGCCAAGCATAAAATATAAAATCCTATTGAATAATGTGAAAATGATGGTATCATTATTTGGAAGTACTTATGCTTGTGAACAATTTCTTTTGAAAATGAAATATACTAAAAATTGTTTAAAAACAAGGTTGAGTAATGACCACATGGATGATGTTTTGCTTCTGGCATCGACAAATATTTCACCTGATGTGGAGAAGTTATCAAGGTATAAGTAGAAACAAGTCTCATTAAGTAATTTGCCATTTCTAACTATTTTGTTTGAAGTAAAGATTTTCATTTTTTTTTTTTTTTTTTTTTCCTTTGATTGTGGTAGTTGCTATTCTGTTATTCCTGCAGTAAAAAAAAAGAACCTTGTTTAAATGATATAACATTAAGTTCACTGTTTTTTCTTTAAACCTCCTGACCAAGGCAGCCTTCTGGATGGAGCGGTCTAAGGTTGAGACAATTTATTATAGTACATTTGATATCATATCCCTCATCCATGACACTACATAGTTTTCTGGCCCACTGTCTCTAAAAGGTTGCCGACCCCTGGTTTAAAACTTTATAACCATTTTCTTTATCAAGACAATTTTTGTTTAAGTTAACCACTTGATTACCACTTGTATTGAATCTTTAATTTTAATTCACAGAATTAAACTGAAATCATTAATTTCAAATGAGTGTTTCATAATTTTTCATTCCCATAATAATCTCATAGTATGAATATCAGTTGTTTGACCTTGGTGTAATCTTTCTCTTCAGATGCATTGCCATTTTAGTTTTCTCAAATAATGAAATTACACAGTACACAAGTTAAATAATACTAATTAGTCTATTGAATGTTCATTTTACCAAAGATTTATATATTATCTCTTTAACCTCTTTTACATTTTTAATTATTTTGATATTTTATTTTCCAGGCCCCAAAGAGATTTTGTTATTGGCTCGGAGATCAGATCTTCGGCGTATTTCACTGGACACACCTGACTATACGGACGTGATTTTACAGTTAAGTGACATCCGGCATACAATTGCCATTGATTATGACACTGTAGAGGACTATGTTTATTGGACAGATGATGAAGTGCACCTCATCCGACGAGCACATATGGATGGATCAGGTAATTTTTAATTTTAATAGATTGTTATATAAGATTAATACAAAACGTTTCCAGTATTTCTGACAAAATTATTTGGTTGTCAAATTATTTTCCCCGTGTTTTTTTTTTTTTTTTTTTTTAACCTTGCACCAGTTTTCAGTTATGCATTCTAGTGAGACTTTGAGAACCAATATTTATGGTGTGGGTTTGAACATGTTGAATGCTAAAGGGCTAAATAACCTGCAAAAGGTTGATAAGCTGTAAAAAAAAAAAAAAAAACAAATCCATCAATGGGAATTTTAAATTTTTAATAAATTATTTGAAAAGTCTTTAAAATCTGTTCACACATACTTCACCAATGTATTTCAGGTTTGCAACTTGTATCTTGTTTTATGTAAATGGTTAGCCAATCATTCCCAGGGAAAATCTGTATAAGCTAAAGATGATTTTTAAAAAAAAAAAAAAGGTTGCAAATCCTTGTGTATAATCCAATTCATACTTTTTGAAGCTATGTTTTTAATATTTATATTTACTTTTAGGCCAAGAAGTTATTGTGAGCACTGAAGTTGAGCATCCTGATGGTGTGGCTGTTGACTGGATTGGCCGTAATTTGTACTGGACAGATACGGGCACTGATCGCATTGAAGTATGTCGTTTGAATGGTACCTCTCGCAAAGTTCTTATTTCTGAAGGACTTGTAGAACCCAGGGCAATTTGTTTGGATCCAATGAGAGGGTAAGGATATAAACTTGGTTATCTCTGTAATAATAGAAAATTACAATAAAAAAAGGGGGGGTTTGTAGCGGAATCCTGAACTTTTTTCAAAATTCCTAATATTTGCTTATTTGGGTCATACCGCATATACAAATCTCTCACAAAGAAAGAACCCCTGTTTATATTTCTGAGATGAGGTATTGTAACTATTTATACTATTTACATTGTTCAAATTGTTGTCCCCATCTTTGTTACATTCACAGTGTTTCAGCCATTGTACCATTGTGCACCGATGCACAAAAGAACAAAATAAAGTTGACAGCTTTTGCATTGGAATTGCAATTATCATCCATGAACAGCAGGGCAACAACTGCAGGAAAAGAACTTTACCTTTGCCAATTCCTGTCATGATATTTGCAAGTGGTAATGGGGAAGATATGGAACAGATTCTCAGTGACTTTACTGAGCGACCCAGGAATGTGATGGTTGGCCCATTTCAAGAAATAAACATGGGAAGAACATCTACACAGATGTCATCAAACCAATCCTCAGTAACACCAACATACAGATTAATTACTCTGTGTTCGGTTCAAAATTCCAACAAATATCACCTGAAGAAGGCTGGAGTATACAAAGGCCGAAATGTTTTGAATGTAACAATAAAAATGAGGACAACAGTCTACAACATTGTAAATAGTGTAAAAAGAAAGAACCCTTTAAGAAAGTAATGGTTGTTTCACACAGATGCATAAAGGAAAGAAACTTTGCCCGTGTAACCCCAAGTTATCATGGCTAGTTTGAATTCAGCAATTATGAAGTGTCTTTTTATAATCAAACATTTTTATTGTATTTATAAATATTGAGTATTTGGGTATACAATGTTTATGGTAATTTTTTTTAAAGTGTAGCTTAGATGTGGCACATGGATGAAAGTATGGAGCACCCAGTGCTGATTGAACTTGCTATTCAATTGTAATTTATCTAGCGAGACAAGCTTGCTAACCATTGTTCCATGTTGAATTGCCCAGGAAATACAATGTTTATGTAAAAAATTAATATAACAGTTGTCATTAATCCACTTCTGATCCTGATCCATTATTGATTGGTTTGATATTTTTTTTCTTCAGGCACATGTATTGGACTGATTGGGGTGCTAATCCAAAGATTGAAAGAGCCAACATGGATGGTACAGAAAGAATTGCTCTGATTAATTCTTCACTAGGCTGGCCTAATGGAGTTGCCATTGACTATCAAGAGAAGAAACTTTATTGGGGAGATGCCAAAACTGACATGATAGAAGTTGCAAATCTTGATGGCACTGACAGGAAAGTGCTTGTTTCTAATAATTTACCACATATTTTTGGATTCAGTCTTTTGGGTGAGTAACATTTTAAAACAGTATTTGAATGAATTGTGAATAAATAATCTTTGTATGATTTACAGTTCATTTCTTAACTAATGTTTTATTTAATTTTTAACCCTATCTTCCTTGCATCAGTTTAAACTGATGCTGCCTTTTTTTTCATATATTGTGGCCATTTTGCTTAAAGTTCCTCTTTTCTTGATTTCAGATTAAAAAAAAACAAAAAAAAAACTTGGAAATTTTCCAACATATTTCATTGAAATTTTCACTTTCCAAAATTATAGTTGATAATTATAGTTTAGATATAGTGAGTGGAGGGGATAAAGGTGTCAGTTTGAACTGACACCAGGAGGATATAGGTTGGAAACATTGCTAATTTTGAACCTTTGTACTTGTAAAAATTGTCGAAAGCAGGGTTTTTCTCTTGACACTGCTATTATTTTTACTATTTCACTCCTCAACAATATTTATTATTCTAAAGTGCTTAGAATTGTAATAAAACCTAAACATGATAAAAATGAATTTATACATTTGTTCTTTGTTCTTGAGAATTTACAACAGAAATATTAAACACTATTTATTAGTTTGTTTATTTACAAGAATAATTTTACACTTACAACATTCTAAAAACTAATAAAAATCTATTAAGACTAATGGAATGCAATATTTATTTTTTACTGATTTATAATGAAATAAATATGAAAATGATTTTTATTCATAAATTTGTGAATATTTAAATTATGAACCAAGTATAAGGCAATTGATATTATTTATCATTTTATAAAATTTAAATCAATTGGTAATTAGCTGATGTGTTGCTAACCATTCTAATAAACAATATAATTAATAAATAAATAGTATAAATAAACAATTTAGTGTTTATTATTTTTGTTGTCAATACTCAAGAACAAAGAAAATGTATAAATTCACTTTTATATCTTTTGGTTTTATTAAAATTCTAATTATTGCTTTTTACAATAATAAACAGATGAGGAGTGAAGGTAGTTAAAATAATAGTGGTGTCAAGAAAAAGAAAAATATCCTTGAAACCAAAATAATTAGACTAGTACAAAAAAAAAAAGCAAAGAAAAATAAACTGATCAATACTATACCCCAAATTATTAAAATCTAATAATTTAGTGTCAAGATGAGGATATTAGTCTAACTGTAAATAATAATACCTTATCTGAGAAATTCAATAATTGATTTTTTTTTCATTTGAGTATATTTTTATTTACAATACTTTTTTGCACTAACTTTGAAAAAAATTTATTTTGATTTTATAGTGTGTGTGTGTGTATATATATATATATATATATATATATATATATATATATTTTCTATGATCTTTCTTGCTACAAATTAATGACTACAAGATTCAAATCACTGTTGTTACATATTAACGGTAAATGAATCCCTGATTATCGTGATTCATCCTTATAAATTGACATCATTGAACTCGACCCACAAATTTTATCCTGACTGTTCATTGAAGACTATGAATCCTGAACCAATTGGCTTAGATTGAAACCTTAAAACAAGATTCTAGACCAGAGGTCAGCAACCTTTTGGGGAGAGTTGGCCAGGCAACTATGCAGTATCATGATATCAAATGTACTATAATAAATTGTCTCAACCTTGCACTACATTGTCTAGAAAGCTGCCTTGGTCTGGAGGTTTAAAGAAAAAATGAAGTTAATGTTATATTCTTTAAGGAAGGTTCCATATTTTACTGCAGGAATGATAGGATAGCTACTAACACAATCAACATGCAAATTCCTTACTACAAATGAACTACAAGTGGCAAATTATTTAAAAAGACATTTGTTTCTGCTTATTGGTCAATAACTTCTCCACATCAGGTGAAATATTTGTCAATGACAAGAATAATCATCCAGGTGATTATCACCAAACTTCCTTTTCTTTTTTTTTAAAAATGACTTTTAGTAGATTTCATTTTTGAAAAAGTTGTTTGCAATATATGTACTACCAAAGTAATGATACCATCATTTTCACATTATTCATTAGGCTTTTATATTTTCTGTTTGGCAAAACTTATTTCTTGTGGATTTGGAATTAAATTTTTATTTAAAAATTTGTCGCATTGTAAGTCAATTAACTCCAGCTGATATTTTTTCTGCCACTTGCTTAAATGAAGTAGAAAATTAGTGTCTGGGTGTTAAGTTGGCAGGCTAGACAAAATTCCTTTGCGGGACAAGTGTGGCTCGGGGACTGGTTCTGACCCCTGTTCTAGACAAACAACTCACAACTTAAACTGTTTATTGTCTTTGCGGGATGAATGTGGCCTGGGGACTGGTTCCAATCCCTGTTCTAGACAGACAACTACTACAATGGTTTCTTTTTCAAGTATGTATCTCATTTGATTGCAAGCAAATTTTAAATTTATTTGTTTGATTATTTTTAATCATAGAGAAGATAAATGAAAAATTTAAAATATTCTTCTGCAGGGGATTATGTGTACTGGACTGACTGGCAAAGACGGTCTATTGAGCGTGTCCATAAAGTGACAGGAGGAGAACGACAAGTGATCATTGACCAACTGCCAGATCTAATGGGGCTCAAGGCGGTGAATATGAACCATGTAGAAGGTGATTATCATTTACTTTTTTATCTATATATAAGAGATGCAGAAAAATTCTCAGCATGACCAAGAAGAGCTTTAAAAGAAAAAACATCTTGTCATATGTTCAGATTTTTGGAAGATGGTTGGGCCAAGAACTTTTCCAACATCCAATTGTACATCTGTATGTGTGTTTATTTAACTAATCTTATTGGTTAGGGTTAAGACTTAGGAAAAACATTTTATGCTTAAACAAAAGTCAGTATTTCTATTAACATACAACTTAATCTAAATAATTTATTAATTAATAATTAACATAAATTTAATTTGCAATTTTAATAATTTATTCATAAACCTTGTATGAAAATCTAATTTTTGGAAACTAATCAATTCCTCATTGAGTGGATGTGCAGTTGGTGTAATGGATAGTGGCTTGGAATAAGAAACCAGAGCCAAGTTCAAATTTCAGTTGAATTTGTTACATTCACTTAAGCACAAATGCTCTTGGGAAAGGGTATGAATCCATGTCCTCATTCTAGCTATGGGTTAACTAGTAGGACTTGTATCTGGAAAAATCATTGTTATTCTCAAAAATTGTTAATTCAATAGTCATATAAAAAAAATATGTTCTTACAATCCAAAATATGTTTCAGCATTAAATAGCCCATAAAGTGTTGACAATCCATAAAAAAAAAAAAAACATAATCTTCTTCCAGATTACATTTATTAGAACAGCATGGCATTGGTGATGTCCTGACAAATTACAATTAATAATAATAATAATAACAGATAATTTCAGTGTGGCTGAACAGGCATAAAAAAGCAAGATTGTCCTAATTAAACCACACAATCTGTTCTCAGAGAATTTTGAAGAATTTATAAAAATCTATACTCTATATTTTTTGTACTCTTGTTTTGTTTGATATCTATATTATAATAACTCAGTATTAGGTATGTGATCGGTTTTCTCACATATAGACAATTTGGTAAAACTTATGTTGCCATATTTTGCCACTCAAACAGTACCATAAGAGAGAAAAAAAGAAAAGAAAAAGGGAACTTTATTTGATCAACTAAACATGTATCTTTGAGGACATACGCATTGGTTGGATCCAGTGACTTGACCCATAGTGTTGTGAGTTCAATACTTGGCTACTACATTGAACAAAAACTTGGAGAGTTGAGTTAAAGGGAGATAACTGAGATATCCGGAAGAGGCATGGCACATAGAACTAGAAAAATCTACCCTGCTGGATGAAATAAATGGTTCAGTTCGAAATTCCATTCACCTGAAGAAGGCCAGAGCATACAATGGCCAAAATGTCATTAATATGTCAGTAAAGGTGAGGACAACAGCCTGAACAATGTAAATAGTGTAAATAAATATCATTTAATATTTGGATTTGGAAATAAATTACAACTTCTTCCGTTATGAATAATGTAATTTCATCTCACCTATTTAAGTAAAGAAATAAATGATACAAATTTTAAACTTTGATTTTACTGATATAAAAAAAAATATATATATATGAAAAATCACCTTATAATCACTTGAAATAAAACCTGAATAATTTTTTCCCCCCTCTCTAGGAAGTAATGGTTGTGCTGAAAACAATGGTGGCTGCAGCCATTTATGTCTAAACACTCACCCCAAGGGACCTGTGTGTGCCTGTCCGACAGGTATTTTCTTTGAACTTCTTGATGATCAGAAGACCTGTGTTGTCCCTGATGGCTTTCTTCTGTTCTCGCGTAAGGAAGATATTCGTCGTATGTCCTTAGAAACTAACCACAACGATGTCCTTATCCCAATTCAGGGCGTAAAAGATGCACATGCTCTAGACTTTGATAACAGTGATAACAGAATCTATTGGACAGATGCATCACTCAAGGTAAGTCATTTAACTGAAAAATGATTACTAAAAAATACCTACACATAGTAGGTATACACTAAGTTCACTAGATCTCACCCTATAGACTTCTTTTTCTGGGGATGTGTTAATGATATATATTTTGTTTTTCATTACTGTATACCCACTTTTGCATCCACCCTGTAGAAAGTGTATTTTGGCAGGAATAATTCTCTTAAATATGTATGGTTAAATAATATGGATAAATTTAATTTTTTAAATTTCTGAGTGTTATCAGTAAATTGCCATTATTTTCTTCCCAAGTACTTACAGATTTTGTTATGTCCATTTTCAAGGATTGTTCTGTGTATATTTATGCAACTGTGTGGGTTTTTTTTTTTTTTTTTTTAATTCTGTTCTCATATTTGATGGAGCCAATTTCACATTACTCAAGGTGACATCATCATAAATGGTCAGACTGAAATTATTTTATTTTTAAACACACTTCAATATATGGTCTCCTTGGGAGAAAGATACCTTATTTAATGTTGGCTGCTTCTCTTATTACAAACACCTCCAGAATTTGAAGTTTTTCTTTGCACTGCATCCTATCTAAAATTTTGGTGTTTTTTAATAATAGAATTTTTTTGCAGTTCCTCATGGTATTATTGAAGTTACCAGTAATATTTTTTGTCGAGATTTACAAACTCTGTTCCATTCAATTTTACAAACCAATCGATGAAATTTGAATGTTGATTTGTTTGGAAAAATACTTTGACAAAAAACCTACTTCATGGTTTACTTCATTTTTTTTTTTCTTTTTAACAGCAAAGAATAAATTCTTAGGATTTTTTACTCTTAAGCATGCAACATACAACTGACCATGCAATAATATTTCTTTTGGAGCCAAATTCCAACTTTTTGAAGTGTTTAGACTTGCAATTTATTTATAGATCTCATGAACGCAGGGCAAATGGGAAACCTGGTTCTTGTTAAAAACAAAAATCATGGTGTTTGCAAAGTTAAGAAAACACTGAAAAAGTAGTTAAAATCAAGTTGTTTTCACTCAAAAATAACTGATTTCGGTTAATTTAGGCAGCTTACATAAAGTTACTGTATATACTTGTGTATCATGTGACTTTTGAAGCTAATTTGAAAGTGGTTGCATCATACATGAGCTACAAAATAATATGTTCTGCTGGACCTGGCTACACCATTGACCACACTATTTATTCCTTTACTGTATTCAAAAAAAGTACTGCTGTATATAAAATAAACAGGATTTCGATTAAACTGATGTTCTACTTAACTGTATCCAATAATAGTGCATGTAATATTCACTTATTAGTATCTTATTACAAAATACAAACGGTGAATATGCATATTTTCCATTGTTTATGGTTATAAAATGTTTAGCTGTTTCTCATTCAGTTGTTTATGGCTGTATGTGTTTATGTAATGAATATAGTTAGCATCACTAACGATACTTTATCATTTTTTTATAAATGAAAATTTAGAGATTGCACAATACGCAAGATTGTGCATTACAAAAGTATATATGGTATATAAAAAAAAAAAAATAAAAACTGTATCCCCCTTAGCTGTTTGCACTTCTCGAAATTTGGCTTCAATCACTCAATTTATAGCTATTTTATAGAGTTTAACAGGCAGAAGTTGTCATGGAACTATTTATAATAGCTAGTCACTCGTATTCGAGGATACCCATCTACAAGGGCTGCTAGCCAATCCCTATTGCAGACTCTTGCTCAGGCACATTTGTGTTTGTTCAGGACCCACAGAGCCAACCTGTGGTTTATACTGCAACTATGCTGAGCAGACCTTAGTTTCAGTTTCTGTGAGAGAGCGTGTTATCCAGAATGATCAACAATCTGAACAACACCAGCATACTGAAACTATAACTTGTGACTTTGTGCTAGAACAGCTATCGACAACCCCAAGTTTTCTGTCTACCTAATTTCACTCACAAAGCTTGGGTCAACCCGTGGTATGGTTTTCAGGCACTTTCCAAAAGGTGCTGCATGCTGAGATTGTCTTCCATCCAGACCAATAACACCTGGAAGTTTCCTTCCTGACAAATTGACCGTGATGAGATTCGAACATACGTCTCATGGTAAGAAAGTGAACCTAACCATTCTAAACATGTGCCCATATGTATATATATATCCCTAGTAATATCAGATATTATAACAGACCCACAGACTCAGAACTTTGGGTTCCGATAAAAAGACAGACAGTATGGGGCTGAGGAAGACTGGCATAAGGCTGTACTTGCCTGAAATAGACTATACCCACATGAGGAAATTTTAGATTTTTTTTTGCTATATGTGTGTGTATATGTATATATCTTGCTCTTTTTACCGTCAAAGTATTATTGATTTGTTAATTGTAATCATAAGTGAATATTTTGATATTTTGCAATTTAAGGATCTGTTCTGGCAGATTCATACATATTTCTTTCTCTCTCTCTTCTTTTTCTTTCTTTCTTTTCATTTTTTTTATTTTATTTTATTTTTATTTTATTTTATTTTTTTTTAAACATTGTTAAATTATACATGAGATTTTCAGCAAAGTTATATTTCTTATCAACTTCGTTTCAAATTTGGGCAATCCTTAACTTTAGTGCCTCCAAAAAAATTGTCAAAATTTCTCTTGACACCTCTATTAATTTGACTACCTCCATTCCTCTGCAATGTTTTTAAAAAGTGATGATTAGAATTGTAATAAAACCTAAGATGAAGGTGAATTTATACAATTTTTTGTTTTTGACAGTTTAAAACAAAAATATTGAACATTATTTATTTATTTATTTATTAGATTGTTTATTTACAAGAATAATTTTATATTTGCAACATTCCAAAAACTAATACAATTAAAACTAATGCAATGCAATGCAATATTTATCATTTACCAATTTATAAAGAAATAAATATGAAAACAAATTTTTTTATTAATAAATTTATAAACATTAAATTATTAAAATATATGAACCAGCTCTAAGGAAATCCTTATTTACCATTTTATAAAGTTTGATTGGCAATTAGCTGATGTTTTACCAACCAACCATTTTTTTTTTTTTTTTTTTTTTTTTACTTTAACAAATGTTATATTGCTCAAATTTTGTTGTGGGAGGTGAAGTAGTTAAAAGCCTGGTCATAAATTGTATAGCAATCCAGACTCTTATCTTAAAATGAGTCGGAACATTTTTTGCTTAAAAAATGTTTTCCTGGTTGAGTGAATTCGTTTTTTTCTAGTTAATGTTGTATGCAAAGAAAGGGGGAAAAAATTGTTTGATATTTTTGCCTTGCAGCAAATCAGTCGGGCATTTATGAATGGCAGTTCTTTGGAACATATTATTGAATTTGGTATTGAATTTCCTGAAGGAATGGCAGTTGACTGGGTTGCTAAAAATCTGTACTGGACAGACATTGGTACCAAGCGTATTGAAGTGGCCCGTCTTGATGGTAAATCTCGACGGGTACTCATTTGGAAAGACCTTTCTGACCCACGTTCTATTGTGCTGGACCCACCCAATGGGTGAGTATGAATGTTGTTTCGATCAATTATTCTCCCTATAGATATGGTTGGCATATCCATATTGAGTGTTTTAATGTCGTAAACAGTTATTGGTATTCATCATGAATTATTCAACAAACCTTATTCATCAACTAATTTTCATACATAAAGGATTTAAGTAACTTTGAATAACATGCTTGTAGGTAATCTTGTCTGTTGATCTAAGACATTTAATGTTAATCCAACTATGGTCTGTCCTGGGTATGATAATCTACATCTGCATCCTGGCTAAGACGATAAACTACATCCAGCAGCAAGGCCTCTGATCGGGAGGTTTTGAGGAGCATGGAACCACCTCTTAATTGCTGGTGTTCTCAGTTCCACCCTGACCGATGGTGGTAGCACCTATTAGTCCTAACTATGGACAAATAGTTAACCCCCAAACTGGGGTCAAAACACTATGAAAATATAAAAATGAGTTTAATACCAGAAATACTTTGTAAAAAGTTATCAGCAATAAATTTTTGAAGAAAAAAATATTACCAACTTTATATATTTTTAAAGGAAAAAAAATATTACTAGCAATAAAAATTGTCACATTAAATAACCCATTGTGGTTGATCAAATCAACTATGGTGTTGGATGATTTGGCTAATATTTCAATCTTTATTCATCTCATTATAAAAGGATCTGTCTTTGCTAATCTAATTTTGAATAACCTGCTTGGAGATAATCTTTAATAACATTTTTAATTTTTAATTAATAGAATAGTAGGATATGACTTGGATTATATTTTAATACTAGGTTAAAAGCCGCCCTATCAGGTGGCATTTGGTGTTTGTGAGTTTGAGAGTCCTTAAATTTTTGCATATTCTCAGCATTGGAAGCTTGACCTGGGTTCTCATTTGCATGGGACTTTCTTTTCCTTGCAGTGGCCTTGGTTCTTTTGATTGGTCCTCTGTTGATGGAGATTTTTCTGTGAAGCATACTACTTCCGTATACAATAGGCAATAATAAACTACAGAAGAACTCAAAATATTTAAGTATAGCATTAATATTTAAGCTTACCTTTTAAAAATTCAATGATAATTCTTCTGCCACCACTTAATTTGAAGATAATTTGATGTATGTAGGTCCTTACGTTACGTCCAAACAATTATTTTTATTTCATAGATGACTTTGCTGGATTTTGCAATTAATTTTAATTATTCCCAAATTTATTTTCAAGTTAAAAAAAAATTTTATTGTACAAAAGAATTTGCTGCAAAAAATTGTTAAAAAATTTCCAAAAACAATTGCAATAATGAAAAATTGGGAATCCAAAATTTCTGTAACATGAGCTATTGAAAGTTAGAGATGTGTCCCTTTAATTTAAAAATTAGTGACACACTGACATTAGCATTTATTATATAGATTTATTTATGTAGTCATGAAAGAAGCTAATATCTATCAATTTATGCAAAAATCAGGAAAAGACTAAACCAACTTTTTGAAAACTGTCTGGTAATTGAAGACTTTGCATTCTGTAATGAATAAGAAAGTATGTTTTTTCTCATTTGTTTGGCTTGATTCTAATTCTTGATAATGATATAATCAAGATGTTGGCATTTTATACCACTTAAAAGGTTAGGAAGGAAACCCTAATTAGTATTGGAAAGAGCAATAACGGCTACTGAATTTTCCTGAAAAATTATTTTAAGAGAAAGATTTTATAAATTTCAACTGAAAGTATCACTGGTTACTTAGTTAATGAATGTTCAATGTTTCCTTATAAGTAAATGGCTATTATTACCATTAGAGATGAGAACAGATACTACACTTTGATTCTCACAGGGAGTATAGAAAAGCATAACTGACTGTTCAGTCAATGAATATGCAATGTTTCCTTAAAAATACGTTTTATTTTGTGTTAACTTTCTTTAGATATAAAAGCCCAATTTCCATTTTCTTTACATTTTTTGAATATCTAAAAGTTATAAAATAATAAAAGGTTTTTTTTATTATTCCCCTATGAAAACAATGAAATATTCTATTGTAAATGTAATGAATTAAAAAGCAGGATTTTTGTCACATTGCCTAGAATTAATTATATTGATAAAAATCATTGATCTACCCTTGCAGAAAATATAAGCAATGCAACTGTGGAATTATTTAAATATTGCTGTATTTTTGTGGTATAGGTAAACTAGTCATTTAATATTATCTGAAACTTTTGGCCACATTATGTTGAAAGTATTGTCGAACCTAGTCAGTACCTAGATGGGTCACTGCTGGAGATTACCAGGTGCTGTCAGTTTAGATGTGTGGGTGGTGTAATGGCTACTGTCTTGGAATTGTTAATCAGAGAGCAGTTCCAATTCCCGTTGGGTAAAGTATATTCACTTATGTGCACATACTCTTGGGAAAGGTATCAATCTACTTCCCCTCCCAGCTATGGATTAATTAGTAAAACTTGTATCACTAAACCATTATCGCAAAAAAAAAAAAAAAAAAAAAATTTTTTTGTTATGTTCAACAAAACAGATTTTAATTTTTTTTGTAATGCCAATGAATACTCATTAATTTTTTTTGTAATGCCAATGAACAAAAAAATGCCAATTTTTTACTCATTGTATTTTTAATGCCAATGAATACTTCATTCTTTTTTGTAATGCCAATGAATACTATTGTCCCTCATTTTTGTAATGCCAATGAATACTCATTGTCACTTTTGTAATGCTTGTTGTAGTAGAGACTGTAATCGCAGTTGAACAATACTGGTGCCAGACGCCTTCGAATAGCACTTGCTTGATAATACTTGCTTGAATAGTAACCACTGTATAGTGATCCGAATAGAGAAATAGTATAGTGAATAGAGGATAGAATAGAAATAGCGATCGGAATAGTAATAGAGGATAGACTAGAAATGGAGATTGTTTGTCATCAGCTACTTCCTACATATATACTTTTCCTCTATGGTCACATGGTCTACTTAATTTAATAATGGTATTGCCTGTGTTTGCTCACTGGCGATCTATGTTCAAACTTGAGTGTCTGAAGCGACACTTTATTCCTATATAACATTCTTACAATCTAAAAATATTTTCTGGCTTTAAATAACCTGCAAAGGGTTGATAGTCATAGAAAACTAATCAATTGAACAATCAATTTTATCAGAATTGTGAAATTTAGATGTGGTTATTAATTTATTTTATTTTTTTTATTTTTTTTGCTTGTATTTCCTCCATCTTAGTTTCAGTTGCTTTTTGTGATGCTATCATCTTTAGTAAGTGTAGATTAGAAAAAATAAAGGTCTGATTTTAATGAAATTTGTCACTGCACTCAGGAGAGGTTCAAGGTACCATATGCTCTTAAATTGGTTGGGGTATTATGCATTGTTTAAGCTGTATCTTGGGAACACACATACAAGATTAGTTTTTATAGTAGTATAGTTTTTATAGTAGTATAGTTTTATAGTAGTATATAGATGTAAAGTCATTTGTTTGATTTAATTTACTCTCTTAGTAAATGTTGATATTTCTTTAATCTTATTAATGAAACTAAAGGTAAGATTTGAAAAAATAAATGTTATTGCCATTTTATAAATAACAAATCATCCATGAAAGACATTAATTATGTAATTTGATCAAATTTTGTAAATGCTTGTTTATTTATATATATATATATATATATATATATATATATATATATATATATATATATATATATATATACCAATTTATGGATGATTGAAATAAAATGTACTGGCTGATCAAAATTAAATACTTGTGCTATTCTAGTTACATGTACTGGACTGATTGGGGAGAAAATCCGAAACTTGAACGAGCTACTTTGGATGGTAAGAACCGAAAGGTGTTGCTTTCAGACCTTGGACGAATTGCCGGTTTGACTATTGATTATGGGGATAAACGTCTTTATTGGACGGATCTTGATAATTCTTTATTGAGACGTCTGATATGCTGGGTAAGTTATTTTTTATTTTGGTCAACCATTGGACTCTTTTTGTATTAAGAATATTTATACATGTCATTTGTTTATAAGATTAACTTTCCTTGTTGCATTTTTTTTTTTTTTTTAAATACAACCTTTTTTTTACTTCAGGCTGCACTTGTAAAATAACTAAAACTCTGGGGTACACTTTAAATTTTAACAAGGAAAAATTAGTCATGACATTTGAAAATATGAAATTTTGGTTTAGCATTTCCAAAAATTAGAAGTACAGTTTTTTTTATTTAAAGGGATTTATAATGAATCTTTTTTTTTTTTTTTTTTTTTTTTTTTATAGAGAGGCTGATAATGACTGCTTCATTGAGGAAGGCAAAAAGGAAAGGATTATCCACTCCTTCTTAGAGATTAAGGAATTTTTAAAATATCAAATGACAGACTTAGACATGGAGGCCATGTTCTTGTTGTCTGTAGCTTCTTAAAAGATAGTTATTTTATTTATTTTTTATTTTTTTTTATTTTAAATATAAAAATAATTCATAAATTACTCTTCTGTTAACAATGGGGTGTATCTAGCTGTCTTTCATGGTGCATTCGTGCACCTGTTGAGAAATGCTACTCTAATTGTTTTGTTATTAAATTAGTTTAGGTTTTATTTACTCTGAATTTATAGTTATCCTTATCATCTGAGTTTTTATCAGGAAAATAGAAAATGTACGAACTGGTGAATTGGTTTAACATAAAAGATTTTTCTCCTAAAGTTTTTGATTATACAAAAGAACAAAATATTTTAAGAGGAAAAACCTTTTAATCTAAAGATATAAAAATGATATTAATAATGGCATATAATTTTTATGCAGCAGTTCCCTAACACATGAAAATAATTTCAAGGGTCCCACAAGAGCAAAAAGTTTGAGACATTAATCTAAAATATAATTCTAAAAATTCAGATATTTTTTATTTATCTATTGTTATCTCACTCACTGACTTAACATTCATTGAAGAAATTGTTACCTTTTCGTTTTTCCTAACGACCTCGTGTGTTTCAGGTCAAGACAGAAGAGTAATGGTAGATACTCATCTTCTGTCCCCGCGTGGCATCACACAGTACAAAGATTTCATTTATTGGACGGATCTGGAAAAGAAAAGCATTGAACGAGCTCATAAATTAACTGGACATAATCGAACGACCATTCACCAAGGCCATGGGGATTATGTTATGGATATTCTTGTCTTCCAAGAATCACGTCAGCCTGGTATGCTTTTTAAGTTCTTTCATTCTCCAGATGTCTTCAGTGTTTTGCTTCTTGTTATTTGAAGAGAATGAAATTTTACTGTTAACATGTTGGCTCTTAAGTCTCATTTTACTTGTTATTCCAGAGTCCCAAAACTATATCTTAATTAATTTTGGTACAAGCAACTTTGTTTTAACATTGTTTCATATATGAGGCAATGATATCTGAGGTAGTATTTATTACCAAAAATTCACAGGTGTGTCGTTACTGTACCTGAGTCCATTTTACAACCCAGAGTCCTACATGGATTCATGCTACAGCTCTGTGTATACAAAAAAAAAAAAAAAAAAAACACACCCCCATCAAAAAAAAAAAAAAAAAAACTGTAGAAATTCCAAAAGGAAAAGTAAATAAGACAAAAAAATTGAAAAATATTTAAATTTGGTGGTGGGGGGTGGGGGATGTGGTTTTGGTGTACCATGATCTCCTAAGTAATCAATGATAGTATCCCACTCCAAATAATCTTCATAGAAAAGAAATTGGAAAACAAACCACTGGAGGATTGTGTGGGACTTGCAGACATACCACTATGACCCACTGGTGGGTTGTGTTAAACCCAACATGTTAATTGAGAAACCTTATTTTGCTTTTGAATAAAATTAATGTTGGCTTCTCAAATCAAATTCTATTCATACATTAACTTGGCATGTGTAACTTATTTCTAGAAATAGTATTATTTATAAATAGTATTTGTGTCAATAGTAACTTTTTTTGGTCATTATCAAATAATGTCTTGAATGATCCTATAAACAAATATGGGTGTACAGTTGATTTATTGTCTTTCTAAAAAATATTTTTCTTTATACTTGAAGTAAGAATCTGTGAAACCAGGTGATCTTTCTATTCTTCTATGTGCCATTTGAGTGATCATGGCTCTCCACAACTTCCTATACTTTCTAGCTCCTATTAAGGTTTGTTGTTTCACCATTCTTCCCAGTCCCTGTTCTGCCATCCATTTACACAAGTTTTTTTTAGGTAGTTTACTCTGTCCCTTCAACCCTTCAATATGTCCTGTGAGTGTCAAATTCTCCTAGTCTTCCTTCCTTATATGGCCTACAAATTTCAACTATTTCTGATTTTTTTTTTACACACACACACACATATATATATATATATATATATATATATATATATATTGTTTTCAAACCATGCTTATATATATATATATATATATATATATATATAAGCATCCATTTTGTTTCCATTTTCCTTAAAATTTCCTTGTTGCTCACATGTTCAGTCCATGTTATTCTCAGTATCCTTCTATAGAATCGTATCTCTGTTGCTTCAAGTCTCTTCATCTGAGAGAAGATTGTCCAGCATTCACTGCCATAGAGGAGAACTGATATTATGTAACAGTCCAGCACTCTTTTATTTGTTTCTAACACATTTTCCTGTTCCATAATATTTTCCTTAGCTTTGGAAGGCATTTTTTGTTAATTCTGATACCCTTTTGCATTTTGGTATCACATTTTCCATCCTATGTTAAAACACTTCAGATATATAAATTTTCATACTTGCTTGATTTTTACATCTAGAGATATTCGTCTGGCTGGCAACCATATATTCCAATCTTTCTATTAATGTTCTTAATTGAAATATTCTTTCTATAATCATTGATACTTATATAAGATAAGAGCTTTCCAAATTGTTGTATTGAGACATTAGTGTTATTAATTACTCCTCCTCTTACTTAATTTTTTAATCATTAATTCCATTTCTTTATTATTATTATTAAAATTATTTTTTAATGAATTCTGGCTAACAAAACTTAATGTGTTTCTAAAATATTTTAAAGTGTGCCATCAATGCAAAAAGGTTAAAGTCTTGATGTAGATATTTCAAAATATTTTGTTTTAAAGTAAATGTATCTGTTACTTGTATACAACAATAAGTAAGCTTTAATTTCATTATTAAAGATCAAAGACAAGTCTTTCATAAAGCTGTATGATTTCAATTTGAATGACCTTTAATAGAAGATTCAATATTGCAAATAAGATTTTATTAATGATGCCATCAGTTTTCTTTAAATACAAGAATGTCATTGAAACTTAATCTTAGCTGTTATTCTCAGTCAAGTATTATGGTCCATATCACCAGGTGTGAATGAGTGAGATGTAAAGGAAATGTGTACCATTCGTCAATTGGACCATAAACCATACTGAACACTTGATTCTGTATTGCAGATGGATATGTAGGTGGTTTGTTTGTTAGTACAGAAAATGGAATCGGCAGCCCAAGTTCAAATTGTAGTTGAGACTGTCTTATATTACTATTCCTATGGTTTCTGAGATCTATTAATTTAACATCACATATTTAGATTTTCCAATATTTTGATCAAGTCTCCTTAGATTTAACAAATGAAATCTCTTCAGGTCAAATAGGGTTAATAAAGTAATTTGTTACTTCAATTACTTTTTTCATTTCTCATTTCTGTGAATAGTTAGTGTGAGGCAGTGAATGTTCCAATATTTTTCACCAAAGCAAGTGGCTACATGTTATGAGTAGATATTAGATTTGTATTGATTGTTTTCCAATCATCAAATATTGTTTTATATTATCAGTTTTTGTGCATTTTATATTTTACAAGCATGTTCATTGCTTATGCAGAGTACATTTTATTTGAATTCTATATTTTGCTGTAACAGGTTGGAATCCATGTGGTGTGGACAATGGTAACTGTTCACACTTATGCTTGGCTCATCCCAGTCCTCCTGATCAAACTGGTACTGCCAACATGACCTTCAGTTGTGCATGCCCAACACATTATACTCTTGATGCTGACAATAAAACCTGTTTACGTAAGTAAAATCCACCGGAAAATAAAGTGTCTACCCTGTGTTTAGAATTTTGTTTTCCTTTTATAACTTGGCATATATATATATATATATATATATATATATATATATATATATATATTTTTTTTTTTTTTCATATCTCATTCTCTGATGAAGCTTTAATAAAAGTGAAATGTATTAGATTGATTAATGTTTGATATTTGTTCTTTATCTTCTATAATATATATATATATATATATATATATATATATACACATATACATACACAATATAAATCAGTGGTAACTTGAGGTTATTAATGTTTGTCAGGCTCATTGCAATCTTTAACAAAATATGCTATTGGTATAACTTAAATGCTGAAATAATTCCTTTAATGTTATTGATATATAATTTTAAAAAATGTCTGTGCATGAAATAAAACATTTTGATATTTTAATATTAATTTTAATAATTCTATAAAAATAAACATTTATTTTTAAAAAAATTTCCAGACATGTAAGAAAAAAAGAGTAAGGACAAAATCTTTGAATATGTTTGTTTACTGGTCCCATTCCATTTTTTATTGTTTTATAGACTGGTTATCAAGTCACTGATAGTAGTGTGTTTGTATATATGTCTATGCATTAGTGTGTTTATGTATCTCTGTCTGTGAATTTATAGTTTAATTTATTATAGTTTATGATCTATACTGCTGACTGATATCATATTTCCTCAACATTACCCCAGTTGCACTCCTCACCAAACCCTCCAGTTCATGAGTTAAGGCTACCACTTTGATTTTTGCTGAATTTAAGTCAGGCTAAATTTAATTTGCCTTTCTGAAAAGATACATTCTGCTAAAAAACTTATACTGTATTGAATAAATTATTTAAAATCTGAAAACAATAAGTTGATATAAAAATGTGTTCTGTGAAAAACAGGGCATACAAGTCATTAGAGATTTTTAAAAGATTGTTTATAAAATTAAAACAAGAAATACATTGCCTATTAAGTATGCCTCCAGATTTGATAGGGCTCAGAACTATGCCGCGTGAATAGCCACATTAATTTTATTTCATTCTTTTTTTACTTTGTTTCTTTGGGTTTTTTTCTCTTTCTTTATTATGAACAATATCAACAAAATGTATTTCAGTCAATATTTTGAGGCACTACAAAAGATTTTTGTTGCTTTCAAATAGATATACTTGAATGTTGACTCGCTCCAGCTGAATCCGACAAGCCCAACCTCCAGTTGGCACTAAGAAATATGGCCATATCACATTGAAACATTGGTTCCTGTATGATACTGAAGTTAAGTAACATTGAGCATGGTCAGTACCTAGATGGGTGACTGCTTAGAAATACCAAGTGCTGTAAGCTTAGATGTGCAGGTGGTGAAATGGATAATGGCTTGGAACTGTTAATAGGAGAGCCTAGCTCCAATTTCAGTTGGGTTTGTTATAATTCACTTACTTGCAAATACCCTTGTGGAAAAGTATGAAGCCATTTCTTCTCTCCAGCTAAACTTGTATCGCTAAACCATTATTGAAAAAAAAATTCTTACACTCTAAAAAAAAAAAAAATTTTCTTGGCTTTTAAATAACCTTCAAAAGGTTGAAAATGACTGAATTAATCAAACAAAATAGCAAGGTTTTATTTCACTTAATGTGCTACTCTTGTAAATATAAAGCATGCTTGGTTAATGTTTCCAAAGAGTTTACCCTGAAATAAAATGCTTATGTTATTTTTTGTTGTTTTTAAACAAAACTAGTCCTGTATGACAATAACCTACATCCAGCAGCAAGGCCTCTGATTGGGAGATTGGAGGTTTTATGGAGCGTGCAACCACCTCTTAATTACTTTTCTCATGTCCACCCTGATCTGGGATGGTAGCAGGTAGATGGTAGTAGGGAAGTCCCAGCTATGAGCAAATAGTGAATTCTCAAACGAAAACCAAAACACTATGAAAGTATAAAAATACATTTTTATAGTAAAATCACTGGTAATACATTTTTGTAGTGAAATTACCAGCAATACATTTAAAAAATTATCAATAATATATTTTATCATCTACAAGCTATATATCTTAAAAAAACCCCAAAAAACATACATTTATTCTGAAAGTATAAAATGATGTACAAAATATCTGTAGCTGAAGGCATAAAATTGTATACAAATTTAGATTTCAGCATTATCCTTTATCACTGCAATATTCATAAACATTTCATCCATTGGGTATATGTGGCCAGACAACTGCAATAGCATCGTCTTCAATTTTCAGTCAGTAGTTTTCCTGTTGTCATATTAATATATGACAACACTAGATAAAAATTCGGCAATATTGTCTGATGATCAGAATTGGATGCAGTGGCTATGCAAATATTTTGTTTAAGAAATGAAGTCACCTACGTACAGAGTGCTAAAGGTTAAATAACCCATAGAGGTGTTGATATGCTGCTAAACAAAATCAACCAAACCAAATCTAAACAAGACTCAGTGGTAGTGACTTTAATTTTCCGACTTGTATATTTTAGGCAATTTGTTAAAGCCAAGATTGTCACTCTAGCAAGAACCTTTTGATCTCTGCATCCTTTAAGTAAATTACTGTTGTTTTTTTTAAATCTACAAATCTATAAAGAGAGACAATTATTCTAGGATTGATTTTTAGCCAAATTAAAAATCTGAAATTTTCTTAGTGAATAATTCTGTATTTGGTTTGAATAGCACTTGAAAAAGATTAATCTCTTTTGTACATTGTCTGTGTTTTCAAAGTCTTTTATTTTTATCGTATGTGAGAATTACATTAAAAAGTAATTGGAGACCCTGTATTGTTATCTACTGTTTAGAAACTGGGGATCTGTTTTTCATTTGTTATAAAAAAAATTTATGCTGCCATTGAAGATAACTTGATCATTCAAATTTGATTTTATAGTTGGTTACTATGTGAGAAGCCTTGAAAAAGAATGTAGTGGAATGTATAAAGTGGTTAATGCTGAATGCTAAAGTTTTAATAAAGACAAGAGATGGTTATTTTATTCTTCTTTTTTGTTTTGTTGTTGAATAATTATTTAGTATAGACAAAAGTAAATTTATTTAATTGTGAACTTTGTAATAAATCAATAAAGTTGGTGACAAATAATCAAAATTAATTGATTAATCCAAAAAGCATTTTTTTTTTAATCAAACAATTTATTGAAAATATTACATTTTGGTTGTAGTATTTCTAAATATTAAAGATTTTTGTAGAAATTCTTGACACTTCAGTTCAGGAAGCATTTTTTATTTAATAGATTGCAAAAAATATGAATTTTATTTTGTTTTATTGTAAAAAAAAAATTAAACCTTTTTTTTTATTGTCTTTTTAACCCTTAATCAATCATTTTCTGAATTCCAGTGCTTTAAATCTTGAATTTTTTTTTCTTAATTGTATTTGCTCTAGATGTATTTCTAAACTATGGACAAATATCTAATTAGAATTTATACAAAAAATAAATCATCTTTGTGTTTACAATTTGAGTTATAAAAAAAAATTCATATTAGCTAATCAATAAATTTACTTTCATAAACTTAATCTTTTAAAAGCAGCAAACCTGTTAAGTGTTACATCAAGGAAAACAATGGTAATTGCCAGATAAATTATTTTTTTTGGTCCGTCAATGTTGTAAGATTTGAAAGTATTTTTTAAAAAATAATCTTATTTTTGGAGGGGAAAAAAAAAATCCAGATAATCATAGTATATAAATAACAAGACCCTAGAATGAATTGAAATGAATTGAGGAATAAAATGGAAGAGTTAATTCTAGGGAAAATGAAAAAAAAAAAATACAATAATTTGGCCTGTTTGCATTTTTATGTGTATTTTCTTTCCATGTTAAAATGTTTACTCTATGCAATATTTATGGGGATTTTTTATATAATCATTTTAAACAGAATGATTTACATCTATATAAAATTTGAAAGAGAATTTTACTAAATTTTGAAAATAATTATTATTGTTATTTCATCTTATTAATATCCTAGCCATGACACCCTTTAAAGTATTACCCGGATATAAGATTCGTTCCTGATATAAGAAAAAGCCAGATAGGAGATATTATTTGATCTGGTCCCAAAATAGATCCTGTGTTCCTAGTGTCCTAGACCCAATGTGGATATAACGAAATGATAAAAGAGATTGATTATGATGTTCTTGACAACTCTTTTATATCTGGATTGATGTATTTTCCAAGACCATCAAACGAGGTTATAAAATTTAAAATTTAGTAGTATTGTTTTAAAAAGCAACCAATTTCCAGTCCTTAATTTTGTTATTTTAAAATTAAATTCAAAAAAGTTGTTCATGATAAATGTTTCCAAATTCTAGAAGGCATTAAAAGTTTTTTTTTTTTTTTTTTTTTTTTGTCTTTTAAATGTCACTTTGACAAAATTAAAACCATTAAAGCGAATCCAACAAAAACTTAAAAAATTAATGGTGATCCTGAAAGTCATTACTAACCCAGGCAACATGCTAGTTATTTAATCAAAGTAATAAGTTTCTTCAAATGAGTTGGAACTGTAATGATGAGAACTATGCAATGGAATAGGTTTATACTGTGTTTGAGCATTTGCAACAACAATATTTTGCTGTAACTGGCTGACTGATGCTTGCTAAATTGAAAGATTGAAACATTTTAGTATGCCACCACTGTTGTCACCAGTATAAATAGATTGTTAGGCTAGCAGCTGTAGCAGCAGCAGCAGCCGTTGAAGCAATATCCATCCCGCTCCATCAATAATTGTGTCTTGTATTGATTGCATTTCATGTTAATAGTCACGCTCTCTGTCGACTTGTAACATACAACTGGTTCAAGTCTTTACTGAATTCAAGTCATTTTAAAATGAAAAAAAAAAAAAATATATAGGCGAACATTTTAAGTTCTTGTTTTGCAGGTGTTGGCTGACCAAAATTTTACCTGTTTTTATATTTGTTGATATGCTTGGTTTTGGTTTTTCAAAAAAAAAAAAATAAAGTCTTTTATTATTTGTTTATCAT